TCAAAGTAAATTACCCTTTATATAACTTTAATTTTCTATTTTTTAATGTTTTGAAATCACACCCTATATCTGCGGTTTCCTATCCAATGTTCTTTACATATTAGGTACAGGGGTGCATTTATGGACAATTTGCAAAGGTTGGTTGACTTAGAATGGTGTTTCTCCTTCTGTCATGGCAAATGAAACAGGACACAAGAAATTTTCTAGCAAAAAGAAAACAGACCTCAAAAATCAGCTAAACTATTCTCTTCTGGCAGCTATGCTTGTCCATCAAACTTTATCAGTAAACTTTACTGAAGTTATTATTGGTTATTTCTCCACAAGTAGGTGAGAGGACAGTAACAGTAAACAAGAAGATGGCATTATTTTCAATGTATGTCTTACAATCGGAAAAAAGTATTTTTTCTGTTACAGAATGAGAACCAAGCAAAAGAATAACGAAAAGTACAGGCACATGAGCCTAAAACAGCAGTTCGGCAACACCCACTGAATTGTCATTGAATCCTTAAAGTGCCTGAATTCATAAATTTCTTACTATTTGATGTAAAGTATTCTTAGCGTCAGAGCTGTAGCTCCTCACACACATCACCAGTCCTAGATTAAGTGGGTTCATCCTCTGCCTCAGTCAGGAACTCCACACCTTTCCAGTAAACCCCCCAGTCTCTAACCTCATACTCTCACAGTAAACAACAATATATAAATGGGGTCAGGTCACACCTATGTAGCTATTTTCCTACACTAGGAAATGCCCTAAACTTGATGATTCCTCTCCGTGGGTTGACTCTCAAATTAGGTGGACATAGTATCACTGAGCTCTGAATCTTAAGCAAATGAGAGTCTAGGTTTAAACTTTAGAAATGCATTTTCAGATGCATCCCCATACTTAAGTTGTCCTACCCTCATACCTACATGCTACTCTGAAGGTGGTGCCCACATCCAAATTCTTTCATAAATCCAGCCCATACTATTTAAATTAAAACCACAACTAAAATAAACAGATCTGGGTTAAGAGTCTAAATTAATTAGTCACTTATATCCTATAGAATTTCAGCAAGAGTTGGACACCTAGTTCTTTTAAACTATTTTAAAAATTCAGTCTTTTGAGCATAAGTTCACTTCAGCATCAGGATCACAACACTAGAAGAGAAAAAGGAAAAAACCTCTCAGCTTTTTTCCCTGGTCATAACATAAAAATCATTTTCTTACATAAAAATTGGTAGTCAAGCTTTAGAGATGTTTCAAGAAGCAAGGTCTAAATACTGCCAGATCTAACAGCTTACTCATAACTAACATAAAACACTAAGTTGAGAGATCAAACATCTCCCAAAATTTGGGGGATCAATGAGGGCTACACAGAGGGAGAAGAAAACAGTGATTTGGCTTCACAGGCCACCTGTATACTTCAAAACACACACGCTGTCTCTCTGAGAATCTGTTCTAAATAAGAGATGCAATAAGAACCTATATACTTACGTTTTATTTTTAATATATAACTGACGGAACAATTCACATGATCTGGAAATGGATAATGTGAAGTTTCATCAATTATATCCCTTATCTGGCTCTGTTTAGTGTACTCCACTATCCTCCTTGTAAACTGTTACCTTCTCATTCTGAAATACTGAATGTAGGTTGATGCCAGAATCCATTATATGAGGCACAGTAAGCAAGTAAGGATCAAGAAAATGCCAAACTCAAACTATGTAGTAGTTAACTATGTATTATCTGGAAAAGAAATTAGGATTGCCACAGTTTTTAATTAGATTAAATATTTGATACACAATTATAGCTGGAAAAATTTTTCCTCTTACACTCAAACAGTTACTTAGTCTGCAACTATCAGAAAAAGATACCCTTCTCAGAGAAAACCTCAACCAACAGCATTTACTTCACTGTTTTAAAGGAAGAATTTTCCATCACATACCTGAAATATTGACTGAAAGCAGCTAATACATTTTTGTGTGCTTTGAAGCAGACACCTTTTACCACCAGCATGCAGTCACAGAGAAGCCCCTGAATGCGCTGTTCATGTAGCTGCTGGAGAAGATGACAACTATGGCTAGCAACAGTGTCCATGCTAGAAAATCACTTAAATTACCTACAATGAAATAAAATGCTAAGATGAATTTTAAATATTAAATCGCAAAATGAATTTAGAATACGAAGAACATTTTTACAGTTTGTTTTAGCTCCCAAAGGAAACAGACTTCAGTTCACACCTGCCATGTGAGCTCTAATGACATTTTTCTGATTAAAGATGAGTCACAGTATTGCTCACCAGTAGAAATACAGCAATGTATACAGGAAATATCGATTTTAATCAAGTTTCGCTTACAACAAAGACCTTCCACAAAAATGTGCTAATGTTGCTGCCAATAAACTGAACTCCGTAACAACAACAAAAAGCAATTTAGAAAACTTCAACAATTAGATTCTAAGGCAAAAACATGTAACACCTACAAAATCAATAGCATTTGTAGACTGAACACTCTAAATTGAAAAGAACACTGTAGTAACATTTTTTTTATGCCATATTTCTTGCTGTTGTAGCTAAACACATTTCCCACGTGGATCTGATTCTTTAGATAAGTTAGTATGGTATTATTTTTTTTTTCGTTTAATACAATGTAAAGTCTCTTTTAGAAAAGACTTCTTTGAACAGGTTGAAGGGAAAACAAGTAACATCCCCACACATTCAGTTTTATACTTCCTTTTTTTGGGAAAAAGATGAAAATGCTCCCTTGTAAATATAAAAGAAAATTCCAAGACAATTAAAACTTCTAATCTTCTAATCAACGAAGCAGAAAAACCACCTTGGGTTAAATACAAGAAGAAAGCGGTTGCCCCCATTCTCAGTTCTCATGAGCACTGAAAAGCTCCACATTTCAGTTTATGCTGTTACTCTGTGACCCACTGCCTCCTGTTGGATTAAAGTGGGCTGTGATATTGTACTTTTTTTTTTCCTATTTATGATCATGGGTTTTAAACCAGGCTTTAAAATAAGGAAACCACATCTGTTTGCCACAGAACTGCTTTCTTTGGGCACGTCTCCCACCACGGCACCTTGGAGGTACTTTAACAACCCCTGAACTCGCACCCTCTCAGGCATCAGGTGCCTGTCTCCCTTGGGAGAAGGTGACACGCTGAGCTGCTCCCCAGCAAGAGGAACCCCAGTGATACAGGCGCCGTTTATGCTTAAGCTGCCATTTCAAGCTCCCCTCAGCCTTGCCCGGCTACAGCTCCGGCTGGAGGCGGAGCAGGGAGAAGGGCTACGGAGGAAGGGATTGCCTCAGAAGACAAGGCCGGGCACCGCGGCAAGGCGCGGAGACACCGCAGGCGGAGCAAGGCGGGGGTGCGGTAACGGGGCTCAAGCAGCCGCTGCTGCAGGGGGCCGGGGCTGAGGACAGGCCGAGCCCCAACCGGCGCGGCGGGAAGACGCGGCCACCACACGGGCTCAGCTGGGGGAAGGCGGCGCGGCCCGGCCTGGCAGAGGCGGGGAGAGCGGCTGAAAGGAAGGAGCCGGCCCCACTCAGCTCTTCCCGGCTCCGGCCGCCCCACAGCTCCAGCTCCATCCCTGCGCGGCTGCCCAAGCCCCACCAGCGGCATCGGACTCAGCCTTCCGCTTCCGCTCCTTCCTCTTCCGCTTCCGCTGCGGGGCGGCGGCGGCGGGGAGTGACGGAGGTGGCGGGGTGGCACGTGCCGCGCGGAGCGGCGGTTGAGGTGCGGGGCGGGGGGGGTGCGGTTAGAGGGCAGGTAGCGGTACCGGGGAGCGGCGTGAGGCGGCATGGCAGCGGCCTGCCCGCCCCCCCGGGAGGAGCTGGGGTGCCCGGGGGCGGTGGAGCAGATCGGCCGCCCCCCCCCCTTCCTCCGCCTCCGTGGCAGCGCTGGCCTGTGCCCGGCCGAGACGGGTGTGCGGCGGGGAGAGGGACGGGAGGGCCGGAGGGGAAGCGTGAACGGCCGCCTGGGACGTGTGTCGGCACGGGGTGAGGGGGGGTAGCTAGTTTCGGGGTGAGCGGTTCCCCTTGTGCCCGAGGTATCGGGCAAAGCGAGCGTTTATGGGCTGTGGACAAGGCTGCTGTGGCGGGAAGTTGGAGTAGAGGATCTCTAGAAGGTCCCTTCCAACTCCAGCAATTCCATGAACCTTTCCCCGTGGAAATCAAGCTGCTTGGAATTCCTCTCGGGGAACTCACAGTTTGTGTTTTCTCCTCGGCCATCCCAAGTTCTCTCAAGTTATAAAATCGAGTTCACCTTCTTGTGTTTCTAGGGCTGTGCTGGCGCGGGGAGGAAGCAGATTTGTACCCGTTTCCCGGGAGCTACTGACCGCCCGCCGACATGGTGGTTTTCACGTGCAACGCCTGCGGGGAATCTGTGAAGAAAGCACAAGTTGAAAAACATGTGAACATCTGCAGGAGCTGTCAGTGCCTCTCCTGCATGGACTGCGGCAAGGATTTCTGGTAGGTGAAGGGTGGGAAATAGCCTTGCTCGCTCTGCGGTGGTTGTCACAAATTTCCCTATTGGTGTATTAGAATCAAGTTTTGAAATTTAAAATAGCAAACGTGTATAAATTTAACAATTATACACTTTTTCATGTAATTTCAAGCTTCATCATCCAAGTTTGAACCACAAGTGCAACGAAACCACACAGCAGAGTTGCAATTTCTTCTTCTATAGTGATAAGTGACGGTGCTTTCATCTTCTGTTGACCAGCAGCTGTTACTTATTCTGCTGCTGGAGAGGGAGTGAGATTGGCAAGAACATCAAAAATTCCAAATTTGATTGTCACTTCTCAGAACAAAGCAGTGCAATTATCTGCTTTCGAAATATAAGTATATGAATTTGCATAAGAAAATAAGATTGTTCTCAAATAATGATTATATTTCTCAATAACTAATTGACAAAAGATTAATATCTATGTTCTTCACTCCTTTCGGGGGGCACTTACACATCGGTCAGAACCACACTACCGTATTAGAATATATCTATATTTAGGAATTAGGTTTTGCAAGCATTTTTTCACCTGCTTTTGTAATTTTAAAGCATGTCAATGTGAGTAGTAAAACACAGGTGTGCGTTAATAGCTGTGCATGTGTCTCGTGTACAAATGTGCAGAAGTGTCCTCAAACCAGAATACTAATAAGTTGTAGAGTCATTCTAAAAGTAGGAGCATAATGAAGACTCAGATCTGATTTTGCAGATCAGAGATTGCCACTGAAGGCTGTAGCACACAGAAATGTCAGCACTCTTACAAGCACGTCGAACTTTATTCATATAAGCGCTGACAGTATTAAGGTTTAAATGTTAGATGCTGTCATCTGGTACTTCAGTTTGTTGACTACACAAGTCTTGCATACTTTGAAGGACTGAAACACTTTAGTGAACTACAGTTAAAAATCTCCTGTTTTCAGGGGTGACGATTATAAGGAACACGTGAGGTGTGTAAGTGAAGACCAGAAATATGGTGGAAAAGATTTTGAAGCCAAAACTAACAAAGGAGATGTTAAGCAACAGGAGTGGATTCAGGTAAGGTTTAACTATTGTTTATTATCATTGAAGACACAAGAGAGGCTATACTGGATCAAAGCAGAGATCTCTTTTTCCCAATATCCACAGCTTTCTTTTGGCAATTTCTTGGTAGGTCTATTGCTTTTCCTGGTAAGAAACACACCTTTTGGTTGTTTTGAGTGTGTCTCCTACTAGTTTGATTTGACATTCCCTAGTTCTTGCACACGAACCATTGATCATTGTCCACCCTCTTCATGGCCCATATGCTTTTGTAGACCTCTGGCTGGTGTCCCTCCCATCTCATCGTCTCTGTTTCAGGCTGAGAAGTCCTGTCCTGCTCAGTTGTTCTTCATATGTAAATTATATCTTTGGACCTCTGAAGTCCAGTTCTACTGTATCCTTGTGAAACCCTGCTCAGTTGTTCTTCATATGTAAATTATGTCTTTGGACCTCTGAAGTCTTCCCAGTTCTACTGTATCCTTGTGAAATGAGGTTACAAGAACTGTTGAGGATATGGATGAACTATAGATTTACTCCACGTCGTAATGATGTTTTCTATGTCCTTCTTTATTCCTTTCTTTAGGATTTTTGTCAGTTACCTACTACTTTTTTTTTGACAGCTGCTGATCATTGTGCTGGCATTTTCATGGAACTGACTATTTTAAGCCCAAGATCTTGTGTCCGAGCTCCAGTGGTTATCTTAAAGACTGCCATTTCTATAATTCTATGATTTTAGATGTGAAGTTAGGATGGCTTTTCATTAATTTGGGCTGAATATAATTCACCTTTTTATTACCTAGTCAATCATTCTCTTAAGGTCTTTCTGGAATTCTTCACAGTCTTCATCCTGAGTAGCTTCATATAATTAGGAAAATTTTCCTGCCTTCTTTTCAGATATTTTATAAATGTCTTCAACAGCAGAGGCTCCAGCATGGGTGGAAATCTCTCCTACCCTTCCTGTCCTAGCCTTTAGGTAGTTATTTATCCTGTGCAAGAACCTACCCTCTTAGGGCTGTTAGTTTCCTTTAAAGGTTTTAGGAAGGAACTCTCAAACGCGCTTTCAAAACCCCATTAGGTATAATTAATGAGATCACCTTTATCCATGGATTTGTTGGTTTCTATCTTAGAACACAATCTAACAAAGTACTAAGCTATATGCATAGTCAAGGAATATGAATAGTAACATTGAAGTAAACAGATTATTGCGATTGTTGAGATTGAACGTTGTTTGAGTACGTGGTTGGAAGGCAGTATAATGTGAATTGTACCGCTTATGAAAACTGTTAGCCTTCCTCCTGTGCAGAGAGGTGAGGGATTATTATAGCGTGTCCTTTTCTGGTAGTCTTAACATATCACAAAACCTTTCAATAAACAGATTTTCAGAAGTACAGGAAGCCTTTACAGTCCAATTGCTACATCTTGAAGTAATGGGAAGCTCAGAACCCTTTTTCCCCACCAAGCAGCAGTGCTCTTCCAGGCCCTGGTCCAACCTCCATTCTCTTGTTCTGGCACCTGTAGCAAAGGAATATGCCTGAGCTTTATGGGGATTAATGGTTGTTGAAACTGGCACTGCTGCCACAAGAAATGCATGTCAATCTGTGGCCTCAAAGTTAGCCTTCTTTTTCATAATTAACTCCAGAGGTTTGTAAAGTCAATCAGTTGACAATTGCTTCTCTTAATACAGGTCTTCACACTGCAAGAACCTCCTATGTGACTTTACTTTTAAAAGTTTATAAGTTGTAACTTGTACATCAGCAAGCATTGGTGAACAGTCCTGCTTGCCTCTGCTTACTATATAGGTATAAATACGTATATAGATAACTTTGATCTATGATAAAACCACAGGTTAGTGTTTTTCCCATGCGTATTGAACGGTTCTTTCGAGCAGGCTCTACAGTCTGTGGGTACTGGGTGACTTCTGTCCAGCATGTTTCTGCCTTGCGTACCATTTGATTGTTGTGCTGTTTTGCTGATTTAATTCTGGTTTTCTTCATTCAGAAAATTCATGAAGTAATGAAGAAGCCAAACATAAGCCCTAAAGTGCGGAACATTCTGGAGCAAATGCGTGTCTTTGATAATATTCCAAGAAAAAAAGTAAAGTTTCAGGTATGTTTTAATAGAGATTAGTAGCAATGATATTAAAAATAGACTTTCTTAGCAAGTGCTCTTTGAGCAAAGGTGGGACATATGCTTATTTGGGCATTGGTAAATAGATGGTGCAATAGCTGAGTTTCAAATAGGCAGTGTTTGTAAAATACATCTTGCTTAAAAGGACTCTCTGTGACATTTTAAGTACTAAGCCAGAGACTCAGCATTCAAACTTAATCTTCAGCTGGAAGTCTGTTGGGGTTTTTTTAATACCTTTCTTTTTCTCAGTTTGCAATTTCTATTGTGTGTCCAAATTCTTAGACATACTTTTAAAGGATTCTTATTTCTATGGCTTTGTGTTTTCCTGGTAAAAGCAAGATACTGTTCTGAGAGTTTTCCTGTTGCTCAGCATTCTCACAGAATCTCCCACATTGGATGCTTCGCTAAATTTTGCATCAGCATCACAGCCAAAACAAATCCCAAATATTTCATGTGGTATCAGTAAAGAATTACTGACCAGCTGGCCTTCCCCCCCTGCCTCCCTGTTCTGTTCCTCAGGTTGTGAGGCTGAGAAAATATCACAATTGCTTCCAAAGCCTTCAAATAAAACTTAATAGAGCTGCAGTGAAATTGCTGCTAGGGATCTGAAGGTTAGAATACTTTTCTCCAAAATGAATGTTTCAAGCAGGGAAAGTGATATTGTCAAGAAGCTTGTTTCTTTTTGGTAAGATATGTTGCAATGGAAGATCAAAAGTTTTTGCAGTTCATTGTTCCAATTTATTAATGCAGCTTCCCTGGGATTTTCACTGCAATGCAAATATCTTTACGTTAGGTTTTACTTAGAATTCCACATTCCTTAAAGTTGCTGATAGTGTGAGCATATTATAAGTAGAAATTTATGGCTTTGTTTTTATTTTCAGCAGGAACTCCTGCAATAGCCCAAACAACTTTCAAATGTTTGCATTGAGATATTTGCTTAAATGTTACTTTTCTGAAATAAACTAAAGTATCCATTTAGGTGCACGACCATCTGTCCAGTACATAAATAAGATCAGATCCTTAAGTTTTTAACTCATGGGAACTGTCAGAAAGTTTAGTGGGACTTTAACAAAACCAGCTGTATTAGGAAGGATTATCTTTTTTATACTAGTGGGACTTTAACAAAACCAGCTGTATTAAGAAGCTTGAGGATTATCTTTTTTATATATTTACATCTTTACATCTTCTGGATTACTGTTGGTGGGGCAATTGAGAGGTATGGTAGAGCCTCATAACAGCACGCAGGCATTATGCGAAACAATTTCGCATGGAGGTTAAAGAGATTCATAGAGAGTAAAGATCTAACCAGATCTTAATCAGAAGAAGCGATTCTTAAAGGAAAATTGGTAATCAATAAAAAACCCCAGAGCTGCACCTTTTCAGTTATTGTTTTTTCTGTTGCACAGAATTGGATGAAGAACAGTTTGAGAATCAGTGACAGCACTTTGCAAGACCAGGTGTGGGATATTTTCTCCGAAGCAACCAGAAATGTAAGTTAAGTTGGAGGTTACAACATCGTACAAACAGGAATTTGGTAAAAAATGCTAGAAGGAAAACCTTTCAGACTCCCTTTGCAGATGTTAGGAGAAATACTGTCTCCCATTGTTACAATGGATTATGTTATAAGGTAACATTCCTAGACTAATTGCCAATTTGGGGTGTATGTTAGGAGAAATACTGTCTCCCATTGTTACAATGGATTATGTTATAAGGTAACATTCCTAGACTAATTGCTAATTTGGGGTGTATGCTGTTGCTGAAGTAGTTGTTATACTGGGCAGGTTGCAATTAAAAACTTCGACACAGTGACACAACTGCGACAGGATAATCAGAAGGCTAATTTAACTTTATGCTATTAATATAAAAAAATATAAAAACACTATCTTTAAGTTTGGTTCCAACCTTTTACCAAACACTAAGAAGGAATAAAACATCTTGTCAGAAATTTGCTCTCAAATTAATGTGTATTGGAGGGGGAAATTAACTAACAGCACCTTGTTTACCTATTTTATTAGTGGAGATAAGATCCTCCAGTTTCTGGTGCAAATTCCCCCTGTAATGTGTATTGGAGGGGGAAATTAACTAACGGCACCTCGTTTACCTATTTTTTAGTGGAGAGAGATGAGATCGTCCAGTTTGTGGTGCAAATTCCCCCGTCTTCTGTGTTCAAATTGTGGACTCACACTGACCTTTTTCTTACTACACACTGGTCTTACTCTTTCGTTCAAATTGTGGACTCACACTGACCTTTTTTCTCAGCGCCTTATTCTTTGCTATTTCACTACTACCCTGGCATGTTTTGGTAGGGTGTTGTTTTAATTGATTATGTCTATTACTGCTACTAGAAAGCTGTTACAGCACCTTACTTCTCTGTAGATGTAAAGATTCCTCTTGCCCTCCCAGCAGCTCCTTTTGAGGAAGAGCGCAGGCACAGCTTTGACGTTAATCCCTTTTTGATCAGGCTTCATTTTCCTGATTTGGTGATCCCAGTTAAATCTATTTGTAGTTTTTCTGAAGAATCTAAATACAAGAGGCAAGGAAGGAAAGAGATAAGTGTTTGTTTTGGCAAGGAAGGAAAGAGATTATTTTATGTTCAAATCCTTTAAAAAAAACCAACTTAACTCTGGGCACTGAATTTCAAGTACATTGTCTTACTGGAACATTAATTCTGTGTCAATACAACTTAACTAAAGCCATGAGCAGTTCCCACTTGATTTAAGCTTATGTTTTTTACAAAAAAAAATTGAATCTGAACAATTATTTTATTTAAATACAAGTAAACAATTTGAATTTTCCATAGAATATATCATTAAAGAAAAATATCTATCCCAGCTTTCTTGCTCAGATTGTTTCAACACACCTTTAAGAGTTCTTAAAAACATCTCAAGATATTCTTTGTAATACATACCTCGAAGTGTATGTACTCAAAGTTTTTAAGTGAAATTCAAATTGAATTGAAATTACTCTTTACAAAAACATATTGGTATTAAGTTGCTTGTATAAACATGTATTCTCTTTCTAAATAGCTACATTAACACTTCAGTAATTGTAGTTCACTTGTAATTATTAAAATTAAATTTTAATTTAAAGATAAAAATGTTCATTAATGTATTAATTCTTCTACAAGAAAATTATTATAAGACCAGGAACATTAAAAGAAAACCAATACGTTACGTAATTGTAGTTCACTTGTAATTATTAAAATTGAAATTTAAAGATAAAAATGCTCATTAATGTATTAATTCTTCTACAAAAAAATTATTATAAGACCAGGAACATTGAAAGAAAACCAATATGTTACAGTGAGAAAAGTACAATTAAAACAACCAGCACTGCCTTTGTTGACATCAGGCAGTAATAGTTTGTTGTCCTAGACACATCCCAAGACAGGGAACTGGATCCCAAAGCTAAGATTATTCTTCAAGGGCTGTATATTTGGGGGTAGGTCCTGTATTTTGCTGCAATATGCTGTATTTTTGTCTGCCTAAAACAAAGAGTTGTCTCTCCCTTACTACATTTAGCAAATATGTTAAAAAAATACATTTCAAGTTGAAATAATATATGCTGTAAAATAGCATTTCTTCTGTGATGTTAAGGCAATTAGCATTTAGGCTGTTAAGTTAAAACATGAATCAGCCACACTGCTTAGTGCTATTTTTCAGGTAAGTGGTGTCACCACGTGTAAGCAATTTAACTGAATTCAGGATATTTGTCGTCTTCATGAATGATGTAGTAGTGAAAAGTAGCATGTCAAAAAAAGGCATATAAAAATTGTAATAATCTGTCTTTCAACAAAAGATCTCAAGTGAAAAAGAACAAGATAAACCAAAACAGAAGGAAGAGAGGCAATCTGCAGAAACTGCGGAAAAAGCAATAGCAGAAGAAAATGGAATCGCAGATGATAAAATTGAGAGGAAAAAGAATAAGAGAGAACGAAAAGAAGAAAGACAAAAGAACAAAAAGAAGGAGAAAAAAGACTTGAAATTAGAAAACCAGACAGAAGTAAAAAAGAGTAAAAAGTCCAAAAAAGGAAAGGAGAGCTCGGAGAATGAATTTGAAATAAATGGAAACAGCCATCAGCCTGAAATAGAAGTGGAAACAAACGTAAAGAAACGCAAACATAAACATGCAGAAGGTATCCATCCTACACCTTACATTCATGTTTGTTTTCAAGATGCTTTCTCTCAATGCCTTCAAGCTTAATAATCTACTTTAGTAGAATGTTTTTAAGTCGTAAGTTACATATACAAATTAGATTATTTTTTTAACACTGGTTTCACAGTCTGAACTTTTTAGCAAATACAAGCTTGCGTTACAAGAACAGAAACTTTAAGTCCTGTCAGAAGTTTTCTTCTGGTTTTACAACTTTTTGTGTATGTTTATCTCTAGAGGAACCTCATATCACAACAAAAAGAATGAAAACTGAAAACATTTCAGAAGACATGGAAACAGAAAACACCGATGGCAACGAAGAAAATGTGGGAACAGACAAAGGTATTCTCAAAGGGGGAGTATAGATAGTTATTAGGATCTTCCCAACTATTCCTGCATTACGTAGGAGTTGTTGCTTAATAGCTGAAGCACTGAAGTTGAGTAAAAACAATCCTGACCTGAGCTGTTCAGGTCCTATGTTGGTTCTTCACGTCTTTCCCATTATAATCTTAGCCTGACTTTATGGTTAAGACACCCTGCTGTTGTAGGGTTAGTAAGATAACAATGAACTCTTCTGGTAGGTGAACTGGTTCCAAAATTAGGAGATTAAAGGTTGGTTTGTGCTGGAGATGATGACTTGGAAATATCTGATTTTACTAATGATGTTGTACACGTAATTATTTTCTAGGTAAATTCAATTGGAAAGGAACCATCAAAGCTGTTCTGAAACAGGCTCCAGACAACGAAATTTCAATTAAAAAACTAAGAAAAAAGGTACAGCATGCTTTTTTTTTAACCTCTTTTGGTCTTGTGCGTTTCTTTCTGTAATGCTTAAGTTCATCAAAATCCTGCCCCACATCAGCAAAAAAGTTTGACATCATTTAACAAAGTATCAATTGACAGAACGTCAACTGAGGGACATGTTCTTTATTGCTTACTGGACTACAGAAGAAATTCAGTGCTAATTCTGTGAAGGAATAATAGCATAATAGATTCCATGCTACTTTTCATACAGTAACACAAATGTATTATAGCTTAACGTGGAACCATCTTTACTAACTCAAAACCGTTCCTCTGTCTTTGTGCAGGTTATAGCTCAATATTACGCAGTGGCTGGTGAACATCACAAATCAGAAGAGGATATTCTAGTCATATTTAATAAGAAAGTGAATAACAATCCCAAATTTAAAGTTTTAAAGGACAAAGTTAAACTCCTGAAATAAGAGTTTGCATACTTTTGATAATCTTTGCATTTTAATCTTGCAGACTGAGTCAAATTCTTCTGTCAGCTGTACAAATACTATGCGTTGGTTTCAATTTAAATTGTGTATGTGAGAGCAGAATTTAACTTTTAAGTCTGGATTCCTTCTCTTTTTCTAGATTTATCACAGAACACTTTCAGATATTTTATTTTTTGATTTTATGGAAAATGTATATTTTTTGGTAAAAGGCTACTGTATTAAAATTCTTCCAGTAATGGATGTAATTTATAGGTGTGAATGTTTATCAGGGCCTGGGTTGTGTGGCTTTTTGCAGAAGCTATTTTAAGAGCAAATAGGATTTTCATATTCAAAAACCCACCAGGCAATAAATGTTTTGTTATGCTAATATTCAAAATGGTGTGACTGGTGTCTGCTTCACGCACTGTAGCTAGAATATGCAGGCTTTAATAATGCGTTAATTTGGTGTTATGAAACGCCCGGGTTGGTTGTCCATCCCATCCCAAGAAGAGATCACGGATTCCCCCCTCAACCCCTGGCCAACCCCCATTTATATACCATGATGTCCATGGTATGGAATATTCCACTGTCTATGCTCCTTCTCTGCTTCTATGGTAGACTGAAAAAAGTCCTTGATATCATTTAGCAACAACTAAAACAATATACATTATTAACATTCCTCTCAAATCTGAAAACGCAGCAGCCACTAGAAAGAAAATAAACTATATCTCAGCTGAAACCAGGACAAAAAATTAAAGTGTCTGTCAAGTTTGTGTATGTAATATTGCACATTCAGACTGAGTTAACAGTATATGTATAGCTACTGAATGTTTTAATTAGTGATGCAACTGACTTCAATATAAGTGGTCACATGGACTAAAAATTGACCGATGAAATAATTTAATTTAAAACACCACCTTAAATATAATAAATCTTGCCACTTTGATGGTATAATAAATCCACAAATTATATACAACTTGAAGAGGCTTTTATATTGCAGTCAGTGAAACACTTCAAGCAGGTCAGAAATTTTACAAGTATGAAATTTAGAGGGATTTAATCAATTGCAAAATACTTCCAGATAGGGAGTTTCCTACCATGAAGTGATCTGTTAAAAACAGCGGTAGAAATCCAGTGAAAATTTCTTGCAGTAGACAATATGATGTTTTGGAAAATTGCATAGTGATTTGAAGCAGATACACTTTTATAAAAGTCCATAATGAAAATATCTGAATTTATAGAAATATTGAATGTATTAAAAATATAAATATGAAAAAAATAACTGATACACTGGGTCCAGTTTTTCTGTATTTGTCTTATTATAAAAGTTGTAATAAAAATATCTAATAAATATAAGATCTCTTTTGTAAGTGGGTTTTTGTTAATTCATGAAAATGGCTTTGGAGATAAATAGAATAAAATTTATTTACAGACATGGAGATTCTTTGAGACGTTTGAACATGTTTCTAAAACTTAGATTTTTTTTATTTATTTTTTTTTACTTTAGTGGGTTCCAGTTGCCCAGTGGAGGGATCCCATCATGCAGCTCCGGCGAGTTGTGGAGCAGCACAACTGGCCGTACCGCTGTTGGCAACCGCCACTACCCACATGTTTTTTCTGCAAAGGCCTACCATGTTCTTAACAGACTCACAAACTCATCAGCTGCATCTTTTTTCCTTTTCAAACTGGCAAGGCCAGTATCAGCTTATTATGTTGTGCATTTAAAATAAACATTCACAACAATTTCTTACCTTGTAGTGTTGCAAGTTACCTTTCACAAGAGAATGACATTTTCTGCTCATGAAAACAATCAGCATTTTCTAATCTGCAGACAAAGAAGCTGATCTATATCAGATGGAAACAATTAAGAGTGTAAAAGAACCTTTGAAGTTATACAACAGTTCTTTTTCTTCAGTCTAATAGATAAACCAGATACTTACTTGGTTCGTGTCATTGCGAAGTTCTGGTGTCTGATGCTCAGGGTTTACTTCAGTGATCACTACAGGCATCTCTGAAGTGAAGCAACAGACAAAATGTTTACGCCACCACACATTGGTTTAAAGCTGGAAATAAGGAATATCAAATCAGTGGTACACAGAGTAGGATTTGACCTTGCCATTTTTTCCAACAGTAACTTGTGATTCTTAAAGGTTCAAACATCTGACTTGCCCTGTGCAATGCCCTGGCTGTGCTGGTAGCACCTGCCTGGGGTAGTAAATGTGACTTTTACACCTAATTCTTCCCTCTTCTGTGTAAAGGGCAAAGCAGCACCAGCTGCCAGTTTTTTCCTAATGATTTGGCAGATACAGAGCAAATTAATGCCTCTTTATTGATGGTCACTAGCGGGAGTATTGTGAATAAATCCTGTAATAACTACAGTAGTATTGCCTCATTATATATCATTATAGCAGTACTACCTTTTCCTAGTCTGTTGGCAGAAAGAAGGAGAAGGGGGAGCAATATGCTTTGTAGGTGAGTTTTTCTTTCTGACTGTTCCTGGAAGTACTGTAGCACGGTAGATGAGTCTATGCCTCTAATAAATTACTTCAAGTGCTGTGGAAGTCGATGCACAGTAGCGTTATTGACATGCAGCTCGGCAGTAAAAATGAACAAAAAAAACCAACCCCAAAACCGAAAACCTCTGTGTTTTTTCATTAGATGATTAATAGATTCCTCAGAGGACTGAAATTGGCTTTTCCACTTAAAACAGATTTAAGCTTTGCACTGCTTGCAACTAATGATGTCTCGATCAGATTGAAGTGCCCCTGTTCTTTACAAGCCCCAAGTCAGTGGTAGTCATTTCAGAGGGAGGCATAACCCCCTGCAGACCCCTCAGAATATTTCATGAAGACAGAAAAACAGTGAGACCTAATTTCTGTTTGGTGATTAATCAGCATATTTACCAGTATTTTTTTTAAATCCCATGGATCTGTTACAATGAAGTTAGGTACCTTGGATGCTCTTTTTTCCTTTTAGAGTGGGGTGGGTGTACAACCTTAAGATTTACCAAATGCAAGAGGGCAACAGCATCAATTTACCCGACTGCATTCAGAGAGAGAGCATGTAATGTTTAAAAATTATTATTCTAGACAGCATGAGAACAGCAAGGTACAACCCACAGTGGTAACATGGAAACTCGCTGAGCACCTGCTTGCAGTTTAATTAATATGTTCATTAAGCACTATTATCTGATCTCAGCTTCTAGGTCAGATGAATAATTTGACTGAAAAGCTCTTAAGCCCTGATTTGAGTGACACTGGGATCTTTCACCTTAAGAACAAATGACATCCATGCATGTGTGTATTTGAAGAAGGAAGCTCTAGCTCCCAGCAGTCGGGGTGGTTCTGGGTGCTGTGCACACGCTCACATGACTGCCTGATATCTTTCTGATATCTTTCTAATATTCTCTGGTATCTTTCTAATTCTAACAGATCTTATCTTCTAGTACATGAATTGCTGTGCAATTCAGATAACATTAGTATTATGCAAGTCATTAAAAGAAGACTTAATTGTTAAGTGTTTCAACATTAAACAAGAAAATCTGATGACCTGCAGCACCCCTGCAAGTTCTTTATACCAGGTATTTTTAAAACACCATAACCTTTCCCACTGTTTTTTTTTCCTTGGTTTTTAGGACAAAGGGGCATTGCTTAATGCTGATTCTGCAGTGTGCCAGAATAACGTGGCTGACTGATAGACATGCACCTTTTCTTGTGTTTTTTTCATTTGCAATTAACCAACAGTAATATTCAGAAAGGCATTTTACTATCTTGTAGCTGCCGCTCCAGACCCTGAGAAAAAGAGGGAGCCCTTCCAAACTTCTGCAGAGGCAGAAAAGCTACTGTAAAATCAGGTAACTTAAAAAAAAGGAGATAAGGTAGCACAAGCATCAATTCTACTTTTCTGCATTTCCCAGTTTAGTTGCATTAATTTATACCATTAAAGCTAGTATTTTAATGTAGTTTGTACAGATAGATATCAATAAATAATGTAAAGTTTTGATTTTACTAGCAAGAGTTGGGTGTTTGTGTTATTTATAGTATGAAAAAAGTCATAATATTAACTATTTACTTTGTAACAAGATATTTTACACTTGTTCTGCTTCAAATTCAGATGTGAAAACAGATAAAATCAATGTTAATTTACATTTTTCTAGTATTCACTCAGTACTGTAATCAAAGGAAATTTCTTTGTTGAAATGGGTCAGGGTACTGAAAAATTTGTGCAAGAGAATGCTTGTATAAAGCTTCACTTAGCATTTAATACAATATTTGACAAAATCATGCAGAACTTATTTTCTTTTCATTTTCCACAAGTTATGTTTAGCAGTCACTGTTAATGTCAACAGTCGCAATAAATGGATAATAAACCATCTGATAATAGTAACATACCATTAGAAAATGTTCCAGAATACGCCTGTTTAATTGATTTTCTGCATAATGTCTTTCCATAATAAAATATACCTTATTGCTAAATTTTTCCTTTCTAAAATAGTGTCTTGGAAATCGAGTGTCTTGGTGAAGGAGGTGGAAATAGTATTGTAAATTAGAAAAAAATGTTTAAGCTAGTGGCTTTCTTGATAAGTATAACGTAAGCATTTAAACAGGGAGTTTGATCACCAAAAGAAAAAAGCTTCAAAGGACAGTTACTTACTTGTGCTCAGCCCTCCACTGTACTGGTGCATTAGAGGAGCTCATTCTTCTTTCTCCCAGTGAAAACCAATCCTCCCACCTGGCGCTATAATCCGGCTTCATCAGTACAATGCAGCCAGACCCCGCCGTGAGCGGTGGCTCAGAGCTGCTGACCGCAGGACACAGAGACCCAATACACCACTTCACTCGGAAACTTTTAAAGCTGTAACTCTCACCCCTGTTGAGGAAAGAAGAGAGCAAATATTAAACTTTTTGTGCCAGATAAGCAAAAGAAGGCATATTGTTCTATACATTGAGCTGTGCTCACAGGTTACAAGATATGTCAGTCAATATGTTCAACATTTACCCCTTTCTTCTCCCAATTTAGCCTTTAAGAAAAAAACAGAATGAGTCCTCTAAGTTTCTTTTCTGCTCTGTCAGCCAAGTAAAGCAACATATTATGTTTCCTATTAGTACTTCTCCAGGAAGTGTCATTTTATATTGAATTCTAAATTTCACTTGGAGCAGAGGAAGTTTTAGTAGTAACTTTTCTTTGCGCTTGTTAAGATACAACTCCTTTTGTTCCTGCAACCTCCTGCTTTTCTTTGCACTTGTTGAGATATAATTCCTTTTGCACCTGAATCCTATATAGGGTATGGGCTGAAAAACCTTCAAGCTTTTTGCTTAGATTGGACTTTTTTTTGCAAGACTGAAGATCACAGTGCTTAGTCCTTCCTCAAGTGTATCCTCATTTTCTTTTTTATTTATCCCTCCTTGTTTTCATTCGTTTTAGAAGACTTAGAATTGTCCAGTCTTCAAACAGAGCCTGTGTTTTGCCATTCTCAAAGTATATCTTTTGTATAGAAACTGCCCTTGCTACTCAACTCCATTTGAATTATAGCAGAAGTAAAATAACTTAATTCCTACAGTAGTAGTTTTACAGTTCTTGAAATCACTTGAAAGTAGCAGAAAACCAGACATTGTGTCTCTCTATGCCTACCCATGAAACTACTATTCTCAAACTTTTAGGTGGAATGCATTACTACTAAACTATCCCAATCAAGGCCTGATTATAGAGTCAAGCTCAATTCTCACATGTATTTGTTTTATTAGAAAAAAGGTGCTTTTAAAAATACTAAGATTATCCTCTCAAGCAGCAAGAAATCCATCTGAAAGTACTCAGGTCACTACATCTTATTTAAGTAACAAAAATAACACCAGAATTCCGCCTGCATTGCAGATGGCTCAAACCCTGAGATTTTTACTCCTTCATTCTGTTCTCTGCAGTAGCCACGTAATGAACTCTTGCGACCCAGCTATTAATGTATAAATACAAAGCATGAAGTGCACTTTCATACATTTCATTTCCTGCCCTTCTGCTGGCCTTTGATTCTTGATGATGGTAACAAATTCAAGGAGGGATACACAGCTTTTGACACTTTATAGTATCCACGCATGACAAAAGCTAATGCTTTTATGGGTGATACAGGACCAGAGTTTTCTCCTAGGCTTTTCTTTCTTCCCATTAAACCAAATACCTCACTTACTGAAGCCAATACTTTGTGCCTGCATTTTTGCTTTGCATTTCTAAATCAATTGCCAGTATAAAAACTTCTACTAAATTGTATAGACAACTTGTACACTTAGAGTGCTTTATTGAATTTTTTTTTTTCCCATTCTACCATTTACTATTAGCTATGTTATGGACTGTTTGTTCCTACAATTTCCTTGTCTTACACCATGAAATATGGTTTCTCTTCCCCTCCTGCTGCTTCAATCCTGTCTCACCTATTCTGCCTTTGAAAGTTCAGCTTTTTTGGTGAACTTTCAGAACTTAAGTAGCTTCAGAGGTTAGCACTGGGTGCCTGTAACACCTAAAGAGAGCAATATTCCTGTACAGCACATGTTCAATAAATAATAAACTTGAATGACCACTCCCACAATTAGTAGTCTTTTCTGTGTGAATTAGATCTCTGATCTTCCTTTTTCCAAAAAACCCCCAAAACGCTAGGATGTTCCTAAATGCCCTAAGTATGAAATTCTTGTCACATTGTTGCAGACCCATGTTGCATAGACTTTTTCCTCAGTGAGGAAATCGAGTTCATTAATTCCCAAGTGTTTCCTTTCCCACCCTCCCACATCTGGCCATTTGTTTTTGCCTCTCCGCCAACCCCTGCTTTTTTGCAGGCTTTTAAAACCAGATCAAATCCTCAAACTGAGAGGTATTATATACCACTACTGGGGATTGAGCAGTCAAGAACAATCATAGCTGGACTATCGCTGCCAAATGCTTTGTATCATTAAACTGTAGTCTTGGGAAAACATTTTGAGAGCCATTGTACTGCCTAAGAAAGTGCACATAGTTAAGTGAAATTAAACTCAATAAATGGTTTAGGAGAGAGAGTAGGAAGATTTACTTAGCAACTTCTAGCAGAATGGTTTAACCAGATTTATTTCATGGGTTTTGTTTACACGTTTGAAGATCCAAGGAATAGCCTTTGCATTTTATATTCTTAATGCCAATTATAGCAAAAGGCAAGAATCAAACATTGAAGCCATCTAACATTTTTAATCAGGACAACTGAGGGTGTTGAAATGGTCTTCCATCAAACAGATATTTCAGATTAAATAATGTTCTGGACCAGCTACTTTTTGTCATCCGCAGACAGCTTTCAAGGTGAAGAATAACATACCAAGATAAATCAGATGACATTATGTGATGCATCCTTTTTCTGTTCTCTTAGATGCCCTCTTCACCTTTTTAACTGCCTTCATCTTTTCTGCTTTCTTTCCCTTTATGAAGTTCAAATGCTTGCATGCTCATATATAGTGCATTCTTGGTATCAAACACACTATTATTTGTATTGTTTCCTTCCTAAAGGGTCAATTCAGGGCTGCACTGTCATTTAATACTCGCATGAGAATTCAACTTGAATTCAATAGTTTGTATATGTACTACATTCAGAGTCGATTGAGTTTTAACCTTTTGTTTCTCACATGTGCATTGTTACTCATACCAAGAGCTTTTAAGTCCTTTGGTGATTTTTTTTTTTCTTTTTTCCCATTGTACTGAATTTAAAATAATTGAAAGAATGCTAGATGAAAGCAAGAGAACTGTAGTACTATTTGAGGGCTATTTTCTTACCTGGATGAGTTAGACAAAGTATTTACTTTTTCACTCTGTGTAAGAGAGGATATGCTAGGCTTTACCCCAAGAACAATGTTCTAAAAGGATGGAGAATCTCTACCCATCTAATCCTTTTACTCCTGATAGCAGAAGATAAGCAGCATATTGCTACTCACTTATTATTTAGTTCATGAACAGAAAGCAGAGTATATTGCACAATTGTTCCTCAAAATGAAGAATACACCTACACAGTAGCCAACCTCCTTCAGCTAAAAATGAACATACAGAGAGAGGAGTCAACCCTACTTAGATACAAAATGAAAACAATTCCAGTCAGGTCTTTTGTGAACAGGTTACATTTGGGTTAATTTAGCCATTGATTTCTGTAATGGGGGAAAAGTTACAAATATTTGCTACAATACTAGAAAATTAATTTGACTTCCTAGAAGTGAGAATATAACTGGGAAGTCTAATTCTAAAATTTATATGTACCCAGTGAAGGCACATATAAAGCTACCACTTGTGTTTAAGAGCTATCTGTAAATCAAAATAAAAGCAACTAATCAGTAAATAGCAAATAGCAAGCAACAAGAAAATGAATTTCAAAATATTTAACTAGATTGCAAAATTCAGCTTTCACTTGAAACCTGAATATTTCAAAACATTCAAATAACTTACAAAGCATTTTTTTCTATTTAAAAGAAAAGAATGTGAAGGTGTTGAAATCAGTTTCTGAAAATGTGGGAAGAATTCATGTTATGCAAGAGACCAGGAATACATTTGGCAAAAAAATTGCTGCAAACTCTACTCTTTGTATGTTTCCTTCACAGAATCTGCAAATTCAAAAATTGCTTTCACAGGCCATTAACTAAATTTATCAGATCAAGCACCACGTTTTAAAATACTGCCTAATATTTCTGCAGGGATTCTTAAACTTTAACTTGCACAAATTAATTACCCATAACAGGCCCATTGTCTAGATGCTTTGTTAATTACATTGTTCACTTTGTAACAGTCTCAATTCAGCTCCTGATTGCTCTCTACTCTTCAACAGATTAATAATTTCTGAATCAGAGAAGTTCTATGAAAAGATCACAGAAAACATCTCAGCTCTACAAACACTGAACATGAGCGGTCTCGGTTAAGGTCAATAGTGAGCCAGGGAAAGGAAGGTCTAATTCCAGCTCTTTGCACAATACCTACTCTGTAGGTAAACAGGAGTCTTCAGTTTAACAACACTAACAGATCTCAGCCTTTTCAAGCACATATATTTATTTGCTATGTTTAAATCAAAGATGTTTCTTATGAATAGCTTTTACAAAGAAAGTACATGAGGATTTCCTTTGTTTCGTATTTGAATCACTAGCATGAAAGTGAAGGCTGAGGTAATAATTTCACTCAAAGGAAATAAAACAAAGAAACCTCTATTTCATTGCTAAGAAAGCAGAGCTCAGAGGCTCCCACGAGCTGTTACCTTCAAAATATTCAACTGAACTAAATAAAAAATAATCACTGTAGTCACTAAGGACTACAATGTGGTTAGCCTTTATGTGAGACATGTTCAGAGGCTGGGAAAAGCAGTTTCTACTCACTGTGAAATTCAGATGTAAATGAAGGCCTGGCTTTCTGCACAAAAAAAAATATTTAAAAAATTGTTCCATTCTTTTATCTTTCATGTTATTATTCAAAACCCAATGCACAGTAATAAAGAATAACCAGAACCCTTGCCTCCCTTGTCGCTAGAACCTCACTCATCTATAAAACAGTTAAGATACTTCGGAAAATATAGTTGTTTTCCATTTTTTCCTGATAAATTACTGTTAGCAGCCCCTTTGCTGAAAAGATAACATCTCCAGGTAGATTATACAACACAGGGTATCTATATTATCTGGTGACATAACAAATGGAGAGCCAGTGCTATTTTTCTTCTAACTGTAGAATGCACAGATGAAATAAAATCCTCCATTACTTCAGCATCTACAATTCAAACCAAATGTAAGAAAAAGTTGCGGTAATTAAATACATTGAAAAGAAATTTATCCTTATGTACTTTCATCATTACACTAATTGAACTGATTTAAGTCCACTGAGTTAAACCTGCTATAACACACTATGAATTAGGCTATATATGCGGCAGAACTATTATTTTATTAACTTATCCCACTCTTTTTCCACCCATTTCAAGGGGTATTGGTTCTTGAAACCTCTCAGAACTATTTGACCCTGTGTTCCACCTAAACCACTGCTCAGTGTCACAAAACGTTGATTTTCCTAACATCTGTCCTCAAGAGCATCTGGTTTGCAAAATGCAATGAGCGAAATACTTACATGCACCCAGTTTTCCCCTATTTTTTTTTTTTTTTCACAAAACAGACCTCACTCCCGCACTTGTGATTTTCCTCACACTGCTCTTTTCAACGGGGATTAGTGCAATTGATGATACTGTTGATTTATAATGCATTACTGGGCCACTACCAGGATCCCCACTTGCTACAGCAGCGCTCCCAACCACCCCC